TTTCTGCCCTGATCTTTATTATTTCTTTACACCTATTGTTTTTGGATTTGGCTTGTTCTTGTTTTTCTCAGAGGTTGAGGTGCATTGTTAGGTCATTTATTTGAGATCGCTCTGATTTTTTAATGCAGGCAGCACTCACAGCTATAAACTTTCCTCTAAGCACTGCCTTTTTTGTGTCCAAAGATTTTGGTATGGTGTTTTCATTTTCATTTGATTCTAGAAATTGTATTTATTTTCTCCATTCTTTCTTCAGTGACCCATTGGTCATTCAAAAGTGACTGTTCAGTCTCCATATATTAGAGTATTTTCTGTCATTTCTTTTGTTACTGATTTCTAGATTCATTTCCTCGTGGTCTGACAAAATACAGGAAGTTACTTCAGTTTTCTTATATTTGTTAAGACTAGTTTTATGTCCTTAAACATGATCTATTTTTCAAAAAGAATTAACCTAGAAGGTAACACACACTCACAGGAAATCAATGTGAGTCAATGCCCTGTATAGCTATCCTTATCTCAACCAGCAAAACCCCTTGTTCCTTCCTATTATTGCTTATACTCTCTCTACAACAAAATTAGAGATAAGGGCAAAATAATTTCTGCTGGGTATTGAGGGGGGTGAGCGGGAGGGGGTGGAGTGGGTGGTAAGGGAGGGGGTGGGGGCAGGGGGGAGAAATGAACCAAGCCTTGTATGCACATATGAATAATAAAAGAAAACTGAAAAAAAATACATTTAAAAAATAAAACAAAATAAAATAAAAATTGGAAAAAAAATAAATAAATAAAATAAAATGATTTGTAAAACACAAAAAAACAAAACAAAACAAAACAAAAACATGATCTATTTTGGAGAAAGTTCCATGGGCTGCTGAGTAGAATACTGCTGCTGTTGGATAGACTATTCTATCTCTCTTAATCCATTATAGTGTCATTTAATTCTGAAGTTTTTTTGTTGATCTTTGCCTGGATGACCTATCTATTGTTGAGAGTGGGGTATTAAATCACACACTATAATTGTGTTTGGGTCCATCTGTGTTTTTATGTCCAGTTGTGTTTGTTTTATGAAATTTAGAGTGATGTTTGGTACATATATGTTTATAATTGTTATAACCTGATGAATTGTTTCCCTTCTCAATATGAAGTGACCTTCTTTGTCTCTTGTCACTAATATTGGTTTGAAGTCTGCTTTGGTAGATATGAATGTAGTTACTCCTGTTTGCTTTCTGGTTCCATTTGCTTGGAAAATCTTACCCCAGCCTTTCATACGCTAATCCTGTTTGTTGTTGTCAGTAAAGTACATTTGTACATTTCTTGTAAACAACAAATGGTTGGGTCTTGTCTTTTAAATCCAATCCACCATTCTATGTCTTTTGATTGGAGAATTCAGACCATTAACATTTAGAGTTATTATTAAAATGTATGTTACTGTCATTTTGTTGTTTTTGTTTGATTCTTCCCTATTCCTCATTTGCTTTCCTACTCATCTGATGAGATTTATTCTTTCCCATATTTTCATGGCTGTGTTTATCTTCCTCTTCTTTAAGTATCTTCTGCAGCACTAGCCTAGTGGTCATGAATTGCTTTTAGCTTTTTTTTTTTAAATCATGATTTTTATTTCTCCTTCAATTATGAAGGGTACTTTTGCTGGATATAGTAATCTAGGTTGGCAGTTATTTTCTCACAGGACTTGGAAATTTATCATTGAATGACTTCATCGCTTTAAAGTTTCTGCTAAGAAATCTGCTCTTATTCTGATGGGTTTGCTTTTACTTGTGATTTGGCAAATCTCTCTTTCCTTGTTTGGATGCCTTATGTTTTAACTATAACATGACTTGGAGAGGTTCTTTTCTTGAATGCTTGGAGTCCTAACAGCCTCCTGTACCCAGATGACCATCTCTTTCTCAAGACTTGGCAAGTCTTCTGCTATTACTTTATTGAATATATTCTCTATGCCTTTAGTTTGCATCTCTTCTTTTTCTATTTCTGTAATTCATAGGTTTTATCTTTTAATGGTGTCTCAGAGGTATTGCATGTTCTTTTGTACTTCTTTTTTTTTTTTATCTTCACTTGCATGTTCTAATACATCTCCCTTGTCTTCAAGCCCTGATATTCTGTCTTTAATTTGGTCCAGTCTACTGGAGAGGTTTCAACTGAGTTTATTTTACTTTGAGCTTTTCATTTCCAGAATTTCAGTTTGATCTTTTTTCAGATTTTTCTATATCTTCATTAAATTCCCCTTTCACGTCCTGTACTATCTTTATTTTACTCAGCTCTTTGTGTTCCCTTAGAATTCATTCAGGGATGACTTATGTCCTCTTTAAACACTTGGTCATTTTATAATCATTTTCTGAATTCTTTGTCTGAGACATCATCTACTTCACTGCCATTAGTGTTTCTTGCTGTGGAGTTGTTGAGTTTTGGAGGAGTCATATTGCCTTGTTTTTCATATTTCTTATGTTTGTGCATTGGAATTTGTACACTGGAGGCCAAGACATTGGTTGGAATTTTAATCACTTGTATTCTTTCAGTTGAAGTATTATCAGTGTTCTGGCAGGACAGTGTAGTGGCCAGGTTGAGGTGCTATTTCTTATCACTGGCCTGGGGTTATGGCTCAGAAGCTAAACATTTGCCTATGTGCTCAGGGTACAAGGCCTGATTCTCAGCCCTTCTCAGATTGAGGAAAACTAGCTGGGAGTCTCTTGTAGAAGGGTTGGTTATCTGCTTCTTGGCTGCTTTCACATAGAAGCTTCCCTTTTTTGTGTACTGGGAGTTGCTGCTGGCTGCAGGGAGCTTTATAGGTTCCTGAATGGGCAGGTTTCCTTTTGCTCCACAAGCCCCCAGTTTGTATTCCTAGAGGCAGCAAACATCCAAATGTAGAAATGCCCCCCAAATGTGTCAGAGAGTGTGAGAAGCACACAGACCACTGAGTTCTGCATGGGAAGTAAGGAAAACTGAGGGGCCAAGGCATTCTGCCTGCTTTATCTCAGGGCTTTTAGACCTTGTCTAGCAGTTCACCTTTCTGTGGTAAGGGGGCAGGGGGAAGGAGGCTGTGGAAATTATGTGATTCAAATAGCTTGGGATCAGGGTGGAAGCCAACACATATTGCCAGGAAGCAGGATCTGGAGGCCAAGTACAACGCCAGCTATGGGCTTGGTACTGTTTCCTCCAGGACCTTCAGGCAATGGGACTTGCTACTTGCTGGGGAGGGTGGGGCCTCCAACCACCACACTCTTCACTTTCCAAGCTCCCTGCTGTTTGAACTTCTCTATGGGTCTGTGTCAGACCCTCTTCCTTTCCATGGTCACCTCTTGTGGCCATCTCCCACCCAGACACTGTGGTAGAATGTCCCAAGACTCCCTGAGCCATGACTGTTCCTTGCTTTCAAGCTCCCAGAGTAGCTCAGATTTAAATCATAGGCTTTCTCTCAAGATGGCACCTTACTATAACTATCAGAGATAAGGGAGTGACATAATGTCTTTTTTCACGGAAGCTAGCCTTCTACTCTAGAGCAGTCACTGTTTCACCATATTCCCTCACTGGATTTAAAGTTTGCAGGAGGTATGGGACTTATTTTGCAGCTGGAATTACCAGTCTGTCACTAGAGCCATCTGGTTTACCTTTTGATTGTGTCTTTGGTCTCTTTGGCTTCTCCTTTATCAGGGGAGTTAGGGATGGAGTTTGAGACTGTTTTCTGTTTTTCTCTGTTGCCTTTCTGTGTCTCAGTGCTTTTCAGCTGTCTTCATACTTCTTTCATAATTCCCAATGCTATTCCTTTCTTTCTCTCTTCAGAATATAGTCTCTTCCTTGTTACCCTGACTCTTCTCATTCACAGAGCCAACCAGAAGATGCTTCTAATCTGTCATCTTGCCCTTCCTTTCCCTCTAATAAGATCTTTTATCTGTTACTAGATTGTAAGAGAAAATCTAGAATGTCCGTGAATATGTTATATGCAGCAAATAGAAATATACCCAATCTGCTCATTTTATTGGAACATTAAAAATGGTGAATGACTATATAGTTTTTGCCTCTTCAGTGTAGTATCAGTATGGGGATTTTAACTAAACAATTCTAAGGAATGAAATTAGTGTTCTTCATAGAATATTCTATCATTATATACCATGACTGTATTTTTAATGTATTTTAAGAGATTAAGAAAGGGAGGAGCCTCCAAAATAAAATGAAATTCTCTTTGAATACACATTATTTCATTTAAAGCTATCCTTAATTTATAAATATGATGTCATATTTTTGGAGAAATATTAAAACTGGGATTTGTAAGCATATGATATGCTTGATCTAGTTGTTCACAATGACTATCAAGTTGTTTCTATTTCAATGAAGTTCTTTAAAGTCACAGAAATTTAGAAACATGCTGTTCCCATAGCAGCAGATAAAGAATAAAACCAGAAGATTTTATTGATTTTTTTAAGAAGGCTTAGAGAATCTGGTCTCCCTTTTAAGCAATAATGTTTGCTCTTTTTAATAAAAGTCTTTAGCAACATCTCATTTTGCTCTTTTCTAAATGTATTTAGTAAGTCATATAAATTTTCAAAGTAGATAATTGTGCCATTACTATAAAATTGCACATTCTTATGATAATGTAGAATAACCAATATTTAATTTTTATGTCAAAGAGATGTTAAACTATGGAGTCAAGATTAGACATCAAAGGCTCTAACTACATGTAATGTCAGTTTACCATATGAATAAAATGCTTTTACATAATCCATTAGTGAAGAAAAACACAGTATAAAATTTTAAGTTACTATTAACTTATTAAGACCCAGACATTGAGAATCTGACTTTTAAATATACATGGAATAGCTACAAAATACAAGATTCAAGTTTCTTCATGGTTAATGTGGCAGCAGGACAGGAGATAATGAAATAAGAAGCATAATTCCATGTAAACATGTTGCATGGTTTTTTTTTGACAATTATCCTGACTTTTTTTTTTTTTTTTTTAACATTTCTATTTGTCAAAACACAGCAAAATTGCTCACCTGTAACAGACATACAGCCTAACGGTGCAATGACAGTGATGGGGGCAACTCCATAAGCTGCAAAGTTCCCTGTTTCTCCCAGAGCCATCAGTAGGATGCTACCCCACCAAAGCACACTCTTAAAGTATGGCTTTGGTTGCTCTTCTTGTGCCAACTGAAGATGAGAATATTTCTAGAAGCAAATCAGAATGTAAACAAGAAAACATTTCTACCCAAAACTTGCTTTGAAATTTCAAGTCCCATAAATTTTCACCATGATTTTTAATTTATTTGAAGATCATTATAGAGTAATTATTGTGAGTTACTATTTGTCCCAAACATATTACCATCAGAAGCAACTCATACTTATATAGCATTTTATAGTTTGCAGGGTCTTTTTATATAAGCACATTGCTTTTTTCTCGTAATGACTATGAAATATGTATCATTATTACTATTTAAAGACAAAGTGCATGTTAAGAAGTTAAGGAACTTTAGAACACTATACCAAAACAGTTCTTTTAGAATGTCAAGTAACTTCAGATATCAAAATAAACTTTAATAAAATAAAGCTAAGTTATTAAGGAGATCCCTTTTTGAAAGGGATTCAGATTTATGAGTCAAAGTACCAATCACAATTAATATAGCAGGGCAGAATGCAAGTAGCAGGGAATTGAGAGAGGCAGATTGCCTTTAATTTATATCTGGTTTGAATAATTCTTTCTATTTAAAACACATTTATAATGGACTGGGTATGTCACTCAGTGCTAGAGTGCTTGCCGAGTATGCACAAGGTCTTGGGTTTGATCCCCAGGACAGCAAAAACTAAACAAACATATTAAATTCCTAAAAAACTGGCCATTATATACAAATAAAGATAATTTCTCTATCGTTTTTATGATAACTAAGCTTACTTCCTTATAAGAATTGTGTGCAGTTCCAGATTACTTAGATTTTTTTTTTAAAAAGAAAATAATAAAAGTGCTAGAAGAAAACATGAAACATTTTTAGCAAAATTATGACTAGAGATGTATCTTAGTGGCAGAGTACTTGCCTTACATGCATAAGGCTCTGGGTTTGATCCCCAGTACTGAAAAAAAAAAATCAAAACAAAACCCACAATCAAATAAAAAACTTGGCATCAGGAAACACTTTTTTTTTTTGAACTCAGGGCTTCAAGCTTGCTAGGCTGGTGCTCTTGCTGCTTGAGCCACTCGGCCAGCCCAGGAACACTTTTCTAAGTGTAATACAAAGCATATAAGCCAGAAAAGCAAATATTTTACTGTATTTTTTTTAAAGTTCTGTATAGAAAAATATGAACAAAATTAAAGAGAAAACATTTACAAAAAGGGTTAATATCTTTAGTATGAAGGGAACTCCTACTAGTAAAAAAAGAAAGACAAAATCCAAGAGACAAAGGATATGCTTATGCATATAGATTACAAATGGGAAGAGATTCCTAACTTCATGAATAATCAAAGAAATGCAAAGAATGTGAAACAACGTAATACCATTTTCATCTATCAGAGGCTATTCTCTGCCCTCACCAATTAATGATATGTGGCATTGAGATTATGGGGAATGGCCACAGCCTGCTGTGTAAGTGTAACATGACACAACCCATGTAGACATCAACTTGGCTGGTCCTAGCAATATTTAAAATGAAAACATCCTTTGACCTCCAGAATACTCATACAAGTATTAAAATATAAATATCTTTACATAAATAGATATTAATTTTATTATTATTCATAATAGCAAAAATAACTCATATGTTCTATAATAAAGAGTGGTAATATGTGATTTAGAATATGCAGCCAAATACATGTATGCTGTTTATGCATATAAGTTGATTCAGAGAAAGATGCATAATTAGTAGTGGTTACTTCTGAGCAATGAGGGGGATTTTACTTTTGTCTTTTCCTTTCTTTGAATTATTTTTCATAAATGCTATAATTTGGGTCCCACAAAGCCCAAGTGATAAAGGTTTGGCTTCCAGCCTTTGACACAACAGGGAGGTGACAGATTCTTTAGAAGGTGGGACCCAGCTGAAGGGGAAACTGGGATCTTGGCCTCTCTCCCTCTCTCTTTCTCTCTCTCTCTCTGTTTCTCTCTCCTTCCTAGCCACCATGAGGTGAACAGGCCTCAATTGTCATGTGTTACTGCTATGATGTCCTGTGCCACCATAAGCCCAAAGCAACAGGACAAGGTAACCATGAACTGAAACCTCTAAAACAGGAGTCAAAATAAATCTTTTCCTTTATTAGTTGATTTTCTCAGGTATTTTGTCACAGTGATGAGAATCTGACTAACACAAAAAGGAAAATGGTTTATTTTTGAATTTTTTAGTAATAAATAAATTTCTTAGTAATTATTGAAAATTATATTAAGTCATTTTGAAGCAAGGACTTATATAAAATTATTATACACTGAAATATTTTGATGTTCAGGCTTATTTTGATTCAATAGTTTTAGAAACTGCATTGGTTTGATTAGATTTCAAACTGATTCATTAAATGATTTAAAATTTTGATTTAGTTCATGGTTTGGTTTTAAATTAACATTTCACTCAGGTTTTAGCTTAGCACTTCTTCCAGGTTTCTAAATTGTGTTTCAGCAAAGTTCCTATTTTATATTCTACATTCTTCCAAGACCTTGGTGTACACAGACATACTTAACAACATTTTAAAGAAAGAAAAATATATATAACTCTATAAACTGTTTCTAAAAAATTGTATCCTATCTGGGGATAAAGCTTATGAAAACAATCAAGCACTGAAAATCAAATCAAGTAGTTGATTCATCAAACATATCTTGTCTATAGTCCATGACAATGTTAGAAGCCAATGAAATCATTTAATTTCTTTTAAAATCAGAAAAAGAAAAAACATGAGTGCAATTCAGCCTGGATTATATTTGTCTTTTTTTTTTTTTTTTTTGGTGGTACTGAGGGTTGAACCCAGGGCCTTGTGCTGGCTGGGGTGGGGGGTGCTTTGCCACTTGAACCATGCCCCCAGCCCTTTTTGCATTAGTTGTTTTTCTAGTAGGGTCTCACACTTTTGCCTGGACCACAATCCTCCTATTTATACCTCCCACATAGCTGGGATGACAGGTGTGAGCCACCACACCTGGCATATACTTATCGTTATACTAAATAAGTTTTCAAATATATTTTTGTCTATTTTTTTAATGAAGGAAAGAACTACAAAGGTAAAAAATGTCCCTGGATCAAACTACAGAATTAGAAAAATAAAGTTATTCTTACCTGGATATTTAGGGAAATGCTGATTACAAAGTTTCCTAAAATGGCAAGCAAAACTCCAAGAAGGTGAATCTGTAAAAGAAAATATTTTCTTTAAATAAACTTTAAAACAGTACTTGTAAGATATTTTCGTGGGAAAAAGATGAATTTCAATTGATGCATTAATTCACTTGTTCAGCTTTACTTAGCATCCATTTACCAAGGTAGGTTTCAACTATAAATACTGTTTAATTAGTATTACTTTTCCCTTTAATCTCTTCCTTTAATCAAATATTATTTTCTAGAAGTAACTCTGTCCTTTACTGAATTCTCTAGGTGTTTGTCTGTTTCATCCACTAAAACAAAGAAAATAATCACCAGGTTCTAACTTTTTCCAAGATAATTTTTTTTTGGCAGTACTAGGGCTTGAACTCAAGATTTATACCTTGAGCCACTATACCAGCCCTTTTTTGTGGTGTGTTTTTTGAAATAGGGTCTCGAGAACTATTTACCTGGGCTGACTTCGAACCACGATCCTCCTCATCTCTGCCTCCTGAGTAGCTACGATTATAGGCGTGAGCCACCAGCACCTGGCTCTACACTAAGATAATTCTTATTTATCCTTTCTATCCATTTTCTTTTCTCTTAATGCATGCTGAAGGATTGTGTTATGAAAGAAAAATTAGTGAATTTAAAGGAAAATCTGAGACATACATCTGCTGTTTTCTAATTGGGTAACCGTGAACAGGTTATTTTACTTCCATAGGCTCAGTAAAAAAGAGGGGATGTTGGGTTAGATGCATCCAGAAACCTTTACTTCTAAAATTCTATGATCCCCACATTTTCCCAACACTCCACCGGTTAAGAACTCACCATGTCTCTCTGCAGTTGATTGTGTTAAATATGAAACTACCATGCCAGCTCTCACAATCTGCCCTGACCGTCCAATTGCTCAGAGTACACTTGATGTGTGTCCTCTGCTCAGGTACTTGGCACATGCTACCCTCATGTCAGATGGCCCACTACAATCAGATTTCACCTCCTGGCCTGCAGAGGCCTACTTCCTTGAGACCTTCTCAGACCACATCAACCTATTTTACTTTCTTAGATTCTAAATGGTAAATGTCCCTTAATTCTTCTTTGATATTGTCATATGTGATTAGGCTACACAAAGAGAAGGTAAATTCTTCGAGGCAGGAGAATCAAGTCTTAGGCTTCTATTGAGTCTTCTAAATCATCTTCTATACAAAATTAGGGGTTTAATGACTACCAGCTTGAAACGTATACAATAGTTTCAATAAGAACTATAGAGGTTTAAAAAAACATTGCCCAAGGTATTTATCATAGACAGCTCATGAATTATTTGATGATTTCAAAAGATGCATTTGCTACTCCCATCTAGGTACAAAGGTACAGTATCTTCTTTTAAGTATAAATTAGCAATGATACAAGAGCTCTTCCTTCCTTTTATTCTACAGTACATAACTTCTAGCTAACTTCACATTCCAAAGAGCTATTTGAATTTCAAATGAACATTACAATCACAAGAAATCCTTTTCAGGATGCAAAATGTCTTTGAAGTTTTTGAGCTCTATTACATGAGCTGAAGTGAAATTCAGTATTTAAAAAAATGAGGCAGAAAAGTTGAACCCTCATTTTGTAGTTGATATATAATATCCATGGTCTTTAATCAGTTAAGAATTTGCTTTTCCTAATAGAGGCACTTGGCAATAATTCTGATCACTATTCCTCATGGGGAACAACTGTATCACAATACAATGTGCTATTTCCACGCTTTCTACTTACAATCGAATGCATTTGGCAATAATCAGGAAAATAAAGAATCAAAAGAAACTTGGCATTGAATGGATCATTATGAAAATCTTCCATAACTGCAAAAGTAAATTGGTGAGTAGAAATAACTGACTTCAAAATTCAAGTTATTCACTGAATAGTTCAAATGACATCAGGCTGAGAGCTTAAAAATTGGTGGCAGTTTTTGGCAATGATTTCTTGGATATGACACCAAAAGCACATGAAATAAAGGAAAAAATAGGTAAATTGGACTTAATCAATATTAAAAACTTTTGGGTGGGCTTGGTGTGGTGGTTCATGCTAGTAATTCCAGTTACTTGGGAGGTGGAGGTAGGTGGATCATATCTGAGGCCAGGCCCAGGCAAAAACATGAGAACTTATCTGAAAAATAACTAATGCAAAAAGAGTTGGGGGCATGGCTCAAGTGGTAGAACTCCTGCCTAGGCAAGTGTGAGGTCCTTTGTTCACATCTCATTATTGCTACTCTCCCGCAAAAAAACCTTTTGCGCATCAAAGGACACTATCAACAGAGTGAAAGGGCAACCGATGTAATGGGAGAAAATATTTGCAAATCTCCTATCTGAGTGAAGACTGATGTCCAGAATACTGTATACAACAGTATATTAAAAAAAACACCCATAACTCAACAAAACAGAAAACAGGCAAAGGATTTGAAGAGATATTTCTCCAAAAAAGACAAATTAATGACCAAAAAAGCACACGAAAAGATGTTCAACATCACGAATCATTAAGGAAATGTACAACAAAGCCACAATTATATACCACTGCACACCAAGTAAGGACGCTATAATAAAAAAATCAGATAATCACATGCCTTAATGAGGATGAATATAAATCAGAATGCTCTACACTGCTGGTAGGAATGTGAAATGGTCTAACCACTTCGGAACAGTCTGGCAGTTCCTCAAAAATGTCGGTCATAGAATTAACATTTGATTCAGCATTCTACTCTTAGATATGTATCCAAGAGAAATAAAAACATATGCACACACCAAAACTTGTACAAATGTCCATAGCTGCATTATTCATAACATTCCAAAGTAGAAATGGCCAAAATTCCTATTAACTGGTAAGCAAATGAACAAAATGTGGTATAGTCATACAGTGAAAAATGATTTAGGCATAAAATAGATGAAACTTGAAAAAAAGCTTGTGTAGGTAGAAGAATTAAGTTATAAAAAAACATTATTATTATTATTATGGCTCCATTTATATGAAATGTCTAGAATAGGCAAATCTATAGAGACAGAAAGTAGTACACTATTGGTTTGCTTGGAGGTGGTGGGTAGTGTAAGGATAACAGCTAATGGGTGGGAAGTTTCTTGGAAAGGTGATAAAATATTCTAAAGCCAATTGTGATGGTACTTGCATAATTCTATGAGTATTCTAAAAACCAGTGAATTCTCACACGAAGTAAATTGTATGGTATGTGAATTACATTTCAATAAAGTTGTTACATAAAATAATTTTATGTGTATAAATTACATGTAAATATAAAATGCTCTATTTTAGTCTCTTCTTCCTCCAAGAAATAACTCATTTTTTCTAAAGTTGATATACATATATTTCTTTCATCCTTAGATTTTTATTATATTTATTTTGCTTTACTCAAATTTTCTTTTCCTATCTTCTTCATTTGGACTCCTAACTCACTAGCTTTTCTTCTTCCTCCTTATCTAGCACTATATGCAAGTACAGTTACATCTTTCCTTCTAAGTATACCCTCGTCTTCAGTGGCATGCATAGTTTTTACATGTACGATCACTGTAATTCCACTCTTATGTATTCTAATTGTCTTATTTTAGCTGAACTTCATGTTATCTAGAAATGTGTTTTTAAATAAATCACAAATGGGGCTGGCAGAGTGGCTCAAGTGATAGAGGACCTTCCTGGCAAGCATGAGGCCCTGAGTTCAAACTCCAGCGCCACCAAAAAAAAAATGTATAAATGAAAGAGATGTTGGTTATTGCATTGTTACTAACTCCTAATTTTATACAGTTGTGGTCAGAAAATATGCTGCATATATTTATGATCTAGTATGTGGTATAAGATGAAATTAATTTCATAATCTAAAAAAACTTGTGGTCAAGTTTTGTAAGTGTTCAATGTATGCTTGAAAAGAAAAGCATTTACTTGTTGAGTTACAATTATAATATCTATATATAGAGAAAGACATAGACAGATACATAACATACATTCTATCTGTGTTTTCTACATATTCTAACTACTTCTATTAATCCACTGCTCAAATCTTCAATACCCTCAGGCAATTTTGGACTGGTTCATCTAGCAAGTGCCAATGGAGCTATATTAACACTACCACAAAAAGGATTCATCCCTTTCCCCTTTCAAATCTGTTGAGTTTACATATTTTAAGACTATAGTGTTAGATATACACAAGTGCAGGATTGTATCTTCCCACTTAGTTGTTCTTTTTATCATCATGCATTGACTTAATCTCAGTAATGTTTTCCTTAACTATTTTATCTGATATTAATATAACATAATCACTTTCTTTTGGCATTTTCCTCCTCCCCCATCACTTCACTTTTAACATTTCTGTGTCATTACACTTCAAAGATTTTTTTGGTTTTTTTTGGCTGTACTGGGGTTTGAACTCAAGCTCTTGCACTTGCTAGGTAGGTGCTCTTCCACTTTAGCCACTCCACCAGTTCTTTTTACTTTAGTGTTTTTCAAATAGGGCCTTGCAATTTTTCCCCAGGATGGCCTGGACTCTAGTCTTCCCATTTATACCTCCCACATAGCTGGAATGATGGGCGCTTGCCACCATGCTCAGCTTTTATTGATTGAAATGGGATCTTACAAACTTTTTGCCTAGGCTGGCTTTGAACCATGATCCTCCCAATCTCCACTTCCCAAGTGGCATGAGCCACTGTGCCTGGCTTAATTTTTTTTATTGACAGAATTATATGTATTTGTCACATAATATGTTTTGAAGTATACATATATATATATGTGTATATATATACATATATACACATATATACATATGTATATATATATACATATATACACATATATACATATGTATATATATATACATATACATATATACATATGTATATATATATACATATACATATATACATATGTATATGTATATATATATACATATATACTGTAGAGTTACTAAATCTAGTTAATTGACATATGCATCATATGATATACTTACCATTGTGGTAAGACCACCCTACATCCACTCAGCATTTTTCAAGAATACAACATGTGGTTAGCAA